GCCTGGAACGCGGGTGTTACATTGCATTTGTTACACTTGGGGAGATTTCCCGAGTAATGCTTGGAAGCATTTGGTGTGGATGAGGCTGAAGCATGTGGTGTGGTAATAGCTTGTGTTGCAGCATGGACAGACACCATTTGTTGCTTCTTAGACGATTCCGAGTTTTTCTTTCCTTTTCGCTTGTTGTTTTTCCCCTTCTTGTTCTCTTCCTCTTTCTTAGCCTCCGCTACCACTGTCTTGACACCCTTTTTATTTCCATGATCGTACAGTTTCTTGGCCAGTCTCTTAGCACTATCAAACATCTTAGGGTTTGCTGCAATGGCATTCCCTTGAATAGGCTCAGTCAGTCCCCAAATAAACCTTTCAATATTTTTCTCTTCTGAGGTGATCATTCCGGGACACATGAGAGATAACTCACTAAACCTGGATATGTACGTGTCGATGTTGGAGTTTTGGACCGTGAGGTTCCACAACTCTTGCTCTATCTTCCGAATCTCACCTCTAGGGCATTATTCTGCTAACATCATCTCCTTCAGCTCTTCCCATGGCATCGCATTCCCACCGTGAGCGTCATAGCCTCAACGTGGCCATTCCATCAGGAGAGAGCTTGGTCCATGAACGTGCAGACTGCGAACTTGACCTTACACTCATCCAAACATCCGTAGATTTTGAATACCAACTCTACTTTCTCAATCCACCTTTTCAGGGCTATGATGCCTCCTGTCCCATTAAAGGTTCGAGGTTTGGCGTTGGTGAAGTCCTTGTAGGTGCATGGTCGTGCGACTCCGTGGCTTGTCCCTTGATTTGTGCTTCCAACTCCTTGCCTGTTGCCTTCTCCGTTATTTCCATTGCGAATCTGTGCAAGTGCTGCAGTGACCGCAACAGACACTGCTACCTGGAACGCAACCGAGTTTATTTCCGTCGGGGTTGGCGTTGCATTGTTTCCACGGTTGGGTCTTTGAGGCATCTTTCTGTCATGGAACGGAAAGACGTTGAGTGCCTATGGTTTTTATGAGTTGCGATCCTATAGTATATGGGTATGACATCTACTTAAGTAATTTCACATTTTGACATAAAACAAGGAAGTAAAACACATAGCAGATAACAACTTCATGATAAAACATAAAGCATTTTCATTAATACTAATAGGTTTGATACATGAAAAGTTGCCAAAAAGGCATACTGTACATATAAAATCCGGTAGCATGATGACCCTGTGAGTAGGGTAATCACTTAAACATAGAGTCGATAGTACATAGGGTGGTACGCGTTAGAAGGAACACAATATTAGTAGGAGATATGGCTGGTTTCACATATTGTGACACCTATATAGCAAGTAGTAGAGCAAGTCCCATCAGTAGTGCTGACGATGGCACTCAATCATCGAGTTGACGTATTAGAAGTTCAGCCAGTTCGTTTGCCTCTTGGGTGATTACTTCTACCCTTTGCTCGGCTCGTACAGCCCTTGCTTCGGTCGCAAAGAGTTGACGCTTGAGATTTGTTATTTCTTCCTCAAGAGAGCATAAATGGTATGCATCACCCCTCTGAACCGCACGTGGATCTGATGGGGCTTTCGATAGATAGGGTTCATTGCACGCCTCCTCAATGTCCTTTCCTTCATCTGACTCCCGGTCAGACTCGTCATATTCGTAATCAGTTACCACATACTCTTCTGGTTCCACTTCAGGTCCTACCTGTTGACCCATGACAGGGCATCCTTTGGGGTTTTCTTCAGGATCCTCCTCAAGCACTCCTTAAGCCACTAGCGCTTGGTAGAAGTGTACCCCTTGCTGATCATCGTCCATGGTGACTGCATGGGGCGTGGGAACGAGTCATGTTTTGATTATTCTCATAGTATTTTTAATTATTAGTGTTTGGATTCCCTAGAGTTATTGGAGAGTGGGGTAGGCTTTTGGATTCATTTCCTGCTATAGTTACTCTTGAACACATGTTGGTCATATTCTGAATAAATATACCTGATCATGCTATATTTATCCCTAATATGACTACATAACTGCCCAGGTTTAACCATAGTGTTCAATTTCCTCCAGAAGCTTTTATTAAGTATCGTTAGGTTACTATCCTAATATGCATACACAAATGTTAAAATTTTGTTTTGTTTAGAGTTGTTTGGTCCCATTGTGTTTATATTTGCATATCATGTATGGTTAGATATGCTAGTTCACTATAAACATTGCTCTGATACCAACATGTCACACCCCAGAACCAGACGGCGGAATCGTCCGAGGGCTCGCGTGACTAACAGTTGAATAATCATCATAATGAATATACATGAAACATAACACATTCATCACCAACATTATATAAGTTGATGTTTTCAAAATAACTTATATTCTCAGGTAATCATTAAGATGGAAGAATTACAAGTGTGTTTGGTTTGTCTATGTAATATCAATTGTCGTATTTTTAACAATTTGAACCTATGTAATTTAACAATGTACATGATGTAAACAACAATGGTTGTATTATGTAATGTTGGTGATGAATGTGTTATGTTTCATGTATATTCATTGTGATGATTATTTAATTGTTAGTCACACGAGCCCCCGGACGATTCTGCCGTCTGGTTCGGGGGTGTGACACAAACTATAATAGGTATAGTTTGGGGTTTCAATATATAGTTTTACAAATTCAGAGCTTATACATTACTATTTTTGGATTTCAAGAGCACATCACTAAATAATTATTTAAGTATAACTATTATTACTCTACAAGGTATACAAAAGGATTCAAATACAAGAGAACAATACAAACTACACGTAAACTAGTTAATACAGGATTGTGAGACATCTCTTCAATTGTACCCTCCGGGGTAAAGAATAAATCCTATCATTTAGTGTAATCAGAGTTTCATGGAGGGAGAGCATGAGATTTGTGAATAGATCTATTCGGGACTGACAATCCCACACCTAAACTGCTAGTTATAGTTAGGCAGGCATGTCTGGGGTGACAAATATCATATCGTCCGACGCCTGAAGAACGTCGCAGAGGTCATCGGTCATATCAAGCATGGTTATATGACTCACAATAGTATAAACTAACATTTGTTTACATGATTTCATTCTTCATTAGTTTTATTTTAATTAATAAAACTACTATACATTACACTGGAGGATTCCAGGGATACAATACATTGTTTTATTTTAAGTAATAAAACTACTAATCATACTGATGGTAAACAAGGTTTTCAAACAAAACATTCTATACATTACTGGTGATAGACAAGGTTTTCATACAAAGGGTTTTTCATTCAAAACAACGATATACAATACAACTGGTTGTAACCAGCCATACGAACTAATACATTATACACCACTACAAAACACAGTAACAAACTTATATGTTGGAAAATATTGGATTTTCTTGGGAAGCATACAAACATTTTTACAAATTCAATGACATATTTTCATTATAAAAACATTTTTATGAACTCACCAGCTTAATGCTGATACTCTTTCAAAAATCGCTTATATTCTCAGGAATCAGTAGATAGGTACTCCCACAGGCTTTTGAGAAGACAGAGCGTATAGAGTCACGTCTTTTATATTTTGTTATACTTTTGATGTATACAAACTATGTATCAAACATATATAATTATCTATATTTTAGTGTAATGGTTGTGTTTACTTTGATTACTATGATGCAATTGTTGTGATGCTGTACATGACGTCCTCCACCCCCGAATGCTTCCGCCAATTCGGTTTGGGGGTGTGACAGAATGTTAGGCGTTTGTAGACGCTAGGCGTTCACACGTAGAGGACAAACCCTAATTTTCAGGGGTTTCACCCTATTTAAAGGCCATTATAGCCTCATAATGTTTCTTATCTACAACCTCCGTCCCTTATAGACCTTATTTTGAAACCCTAAGTGTATGTGAGTGTTTCAAAGCCTTGGAGTAACATTTTGGTATCGTTTTTGTGTTCCTGGTGGAGAAGGAAGATCTTTGGAGTGTTGGTGTTTCTCTCTAGCCTTTGGATCTGGACTCTTGGCATCTCGGAGTACCTTTTAGAGGTATAAAGTTTAGATCTTGATGACTTCTTTATTATATCTTGCTTAAGTGTAGTTTTATGTTCTTTTTGGTCCCAAGAACTTGACTTTTGTGAGTTTGGAATGCTCAAGAGGTTTAGGCTGTCATTTCAAGCATTTTGGATGGTTTAAAATCATAAAAATGCAAGCTTGGACCTTGATACTCTTCCATGCAAGAGTTTTGGAACTTTAGAGTGTGATTTAAGTTATATTTTGGTGTTGGGCTCTTTGTAGCCATGCAAAGTCATAAAGCTTGCAACTTTATGACTTTAGATGTTCTTTTAACATTGGATCTGAAGTTTGAACGTTAGATCTTAAGCCATTAAGACCTTTGTTAAGGATTTTGGATTCTATGGTTACGTCATGTGTTTGGGTTAGAACGTTGGGCGTTCGGACGCCAAACGTCATTAAGTGGACGCCATGCGTTCTCTTAGAAGCCCATTAGATCAATTTTGGGCCTTGGGCCATTTTGGTTTTTGGGCTTGGATAAGTTGGGCTATGTAAGGAAAGTGTAAAATGATATTTTACCCTGGGAGTTGGACATATGGATGAGATTCCTAGTTATAGTTTATGTCCCAATTATTAATTAGGGTTTTATGTGATTGTTTAGCGCAAGGATTTTTCGGATCAGCAATCCAAGCATTTATTTAGTTGTTTCAGTAGTTAGAGGTACGTCTCCTCACAATGTTTAGCGGGTCGAAGGCAAAATTCCGGCCCATGATTTATTACGATTAGGATGCTAGTTGTCTGCGTGACTCTTGCATGTGTAGTATGAGATATATATATACCGGCTCAGGTCTGATGCCAGGCGAGACCTAATGGGTGTATTATATGATATTTATCTTAGTGATTCTTGCATGTGTTTAGTTGTCTATATGAATATCGGCTGGGGCCCAATACCAGGTGGGGCCTGATGAATTTGATGAGCGGGGCCCATCTCATGTTCTGACAGATCTGTTCCGAGTGGGGCTTGATGTCAGGCGGGGCCCGATGGTTTTTGGGCATGGTCCATTGTATGTTTGATATGTATGACATAAAGTATTTTGGGGAACTCTTTAAGCTTTATGATTACAATTTATGTTTATGTTTTCAGGTACTTCCGGTTCAGGAAGGAAGGACCCGACATGATCGCAACGTATCCACCATTGTTTCCGCACTTTGTGATTTTGAGATCGTATTCTGATAACTATTTTATTGTGATATATTTTTGAATGATTAAAATGGATAAATAATGTTTATGGTTGAATCAAAAATAAAATTTATACATTGTGATTTTGGTACATTACATATTCTCCAAAAATTCCTTGGCCAAGACCGATGAACCAAATTTGATAATGACCATCATACATCATGCATGCTTGACCTTTGCACATTTGTCATAGTGGATGGATAGAAACGTCGGTAGGTGACCAAGGTGATACAACGACTTTACTTTGCCAATAAGAGCATACCCCTGAGTTCATACATAAACGAATTGGTGTGTGATCGGGAGGTATATGCCTAAGATCAGAGGGTGTGGGAGGGACTCTTCCTCACTTTTGGTGGGCCATACCTCTCTTTCCCTCACCTAAAAGCTAAGAAATGGGTGGGAAGCCCTTCCCCCACTTTTTTTTTTAATATATTTCATACATATATTATACTTATTTTGTAGGGAATTAAAAACCATGAATTTTAATATATTTTTTTATATTTTTATAATAGGTATATAATTTTATAAATATTAAAAAAAAAAAAAAGCGTGAGGAGAAAGAGTGCGGCACCCTCTCCCCCCACCTTTTTTCCCGCATTTCTTTCCCTCACCTACAGAGTGGTGTGCAGGTTCCCTCATCCCTTTCCCGCACCCACTCCGTCCGACCTAAGAGAGGCCTTGGTTCTATGATTGGTGCTGGCATCTCCTATATAAAAGCGTAAGTATTTAGTAAATAAATATATTATTTTATAAAAAATAGAAATCAAACTTTAATGGATAGATTTAAGCTGTTTTATATATTAATAAATAGATGATTTAATAGGAAGTCTTAATTATGGAAAAGTTTTAAATATAAAAGTAAATAAATAACTAACCGTTAGAAAGTCGAAAGGGTTGGGTCGGTGTGCATAATATATCTCAATCGTCCGCTCTCACAGAACCAAACTCCGCCGGTTGCCGGAAAGCTTAGACCGATCTCTGTAAATCCGGTCCCCGGAGACCCAAACACCCCCAGTCCCAATCCTTGGCAGGAGACTCATCATGTCTTTAATCCAAGAATCATCAAGATTGTTGTAAGTTTCAGGGGTTTCTGTACTAAGATGCTGTAATTTCCTCTGTGAGTTTAAAATTTATGTAGGAATGAGAAAAATCGAAGATTAATTGCTGTTTTCTTAGTTCTTTCTCTTCGCATCAGGTTTTCTGGTTTTACCCTGTCTTCGTCTCCATTATCTCGATGGCGTTTCTATATCTGTAAACAACTGATTTTCTGGGTTTAAGTAACTGAACTAGTTTCATTGCATCTCAAAAGGGAAGGAAATTACAGACTGTTTCTATAGGTTTGTTGATCCTTTCGTTGGGGATTTTCTTCTTTTTCTTTTCATTGGGAGTTTTGCTGTAAAATCTAATATAGCGTGTCTGCTGTGTTTAGATGGTTTTGTTGATCAATTCGCCAGTGTTCTTGTGTGTTTC